CAAAGGTCAAAAAATTTGGGGATCCCATCTGCAAGAACCCTTTTTAGTTTTACAATCACCATCTACATAACGCACTTTTCTTAATCCAAACGTCTATACTTTTATTTACAAAGATATTTCCGGTAGGCAATGCTCTGAACCATCATGTTTTTATTAAATGCAGCTAAGTCATCGTAATTTTATTAATTTCTAATGTAGTATCATAGTTTAGAATTGCATCTTACTATGCATTTTTCCATACAACTTTTAGAATTAAACTAATATGCTAACTTGAGTTTTTTCTTTTATTTATTCTGGATAATGTAAAGAAAAATATGGACAATTTTGTTGAAATATGAGATACACCCTTGAAAAACTATAGCATGTTATTTGGCAAATGTATGAACCTCATGTTTAGAGTAACATGACATTTATAATCACTTGTCATACGACGAGGTGCTTAATACCAATAGTGTTTTGACGTTTTCACCATTTTTCTCCTGAGAGGATCATTTTGTTACCAACTCTAAATATATCATTTTCATAAGCACAAGTAAGGGCCGTGTTTGAAATTGATCTCATTTTTATTTTAACGTTTTTCAAAAAAGAAAAAATGAAAACGTTTTCAAAACAACATTTGTAGCAATAAAGACAAAAAATGAAAACAATTTTTTAGTTTAGTGTAAAATGAGAGAAAAAAAAATGACTTTTAGTAGTTTTTCATTTTTTGTTTTCGTTTTCTCCTCTCTCGAGTATAGAGAGACATTAATGAGTTTTTTTTATACTAAAAATAATCTCTTGATAAAACTATCAAATGTATTTTTAAAAATAATTTATGTCTGAGATTAAAAACATTTTCATTTTCATTTTCATACAAAAAATAAAATTAAAACGAGTTCTAAACGCGCCCAAAAGTACTTATTCAGATAAATGTCACAAACTCAAAATATTTCTTTTCTTTTGCCGTGGACAAAAAAATGCAATTGCATAAAATTCCATACCATGCATTTTAAATCATAAATATGTCCCTAATAGTATCAAACTAACTAATTGTTTGGTTGGGGAATTCGTCCCCCATTCAAATCATGGTTCGTTGTTCGTTACAGTATTTTCTCTTACAAAAAAATACACGTAAATCGAAAATGGTTCTAATCTCATGATTCTAATCCATGAACCAAACGTTTCCTATTGACCATCGGCATCCTACCACCAGGGATATTCAAATAACGAGGACAGTGAGCGTAATTACCTCCACAAGTAAAACAAATAACTTTACTAAGAACCTGTCATAATTATAAATTTCTTAGGGCCTGTTTAGTTCGTTGATTCGAGTTTTTAATTCGACTTGAGATGTGACTTTATGTGATGATTTTTTACTGTAACAAAAAAATTAGACGTGACTGTTTTTGAGAATTTTTTACTGTAACAAAACTCAAATTTTAAACTTAAATCGGTGAAATGAACGGAGCCTTAATAAACAAACTTATAAAAATATTCCTATTAAACAAAAAAACAAAGCGAATGCCAAATTGTCTGAGAATAATTGGCCATGATTTGAGGAGATTGAAATTTTTGGGCGGGAAGTTCAATTAGCATATAGCAATATTGGCCCAAAAAATAATTAAAAAAGAAAAAAAAAACAACAACATAACTGGCACCAGGTTGCAAGGAAAAAAAAAAAAAAAAAAAAAAAAAAAGAGCAATAATTGAAGCCAAAGCCGAGTGAAAAAGGCAGGAAATGATATTGTCTTTCAAGCATGTAATGATATTAGGGAGTCAAATGTCCAAACCTAGTGAGTGAGCTCCGTCTCATGGACAGCTATGATTTATGAACCAACCTTGACTTCATAACCACAGCAATTTTCTCTAAACATATTAGGATAGGACAAAAGTCTCAGAGCTCTAATTCTCTCTTTCTGTCTCAGTACGGAAAAAAAGTTTTTGGCTAGAGGTCCAACGCCATCTCCAAGTTTCTATTTTTCACATCATTTTTATTTTATTTTATTTTTTAAATATGAAAAATAAGAAAAATCATAAAACATAAAATATTCATCAAAAAATGATATTGTTTGTTGTATTAATTTATAAAAATCGTATATTAATTTTAGAATGCAAAATATGAATAAAAATGTAAATTTTTTACCCATCCTAGCCCCTGAGCGCCCCACTACGCGGGCCGGAGGCTTTTTGACAGCATTTTATTTTTTTTGTCATTTTTTGGGCTATTTTTTGCAGACATACCCAGAAAAATGTAAGGATCGTGTATGCACAATTTCAGAACATTTTGACATAATTTTTATTTTATTTTATTTTTTAAAAATAAAAATAAAGAAAATCATCAAATAGAATATTCATCAAAAGATTGTGCCGCTTATTGCATTAATTCCTAAAAATCGGGTGGGGTGCCCAGGGGCCGGGATGGGTCAAGAATGTACATTTTTTATTTATGCTTTGCATTCTAAAATTCAGTCCCCAAATTCGTCTCGATGTTGGCTTTCTCTTGATGGTGGTTGTGTGCGGAGCGGTGCATCTGTTGAGACGGATCTAACATTTTTTTAGAGGTGAGTTACTTCTCGCTTAGACAGTTGTTTCCAGCATGTTCATCAGCGGGTGGTCGCACTCATTGATCTGCATGGTGGTGAGATTTTCTGTGAGGTTGTGGTTCCGTTCTTTATTGGTGGCTGGAGTGTTCGTTGTAAATATCTCCTCCATTATGCCTTTGTTATCCCGTAGTCCTCCACCTCTCATGGGTGTGCTTTCCTTGTGAGATGGCTCCACTTAGATTTGGTTTCCGTTCCACAGCCGATGGCTTGCTGCCAGTGGATCTTTCTTTTGTTTAATTGTAATAAGGCGTTGATGTTTCCGCCTCTTTAGTGTATTTTTTTGTTTTACTTTAGTGTTTTTGTTTCGGTAATAATAGAGGAGATGTCCTCGGTCGTGTCTCCCACCCATTTGTAAACAGTGTGGTGTATGATTTATGATTAGAATTCCCTCTACGTTGTGGTGTGACTGTTCCGTTACGTGGGGATTGGTCTCAATCTATTGGGCTACTCCATCGATTGTTTTGGTGTTGTTTAACGAGCAATGGTCAAGCTCAAAGTTTATATGTTGAGCATGTCTCCCCCATTTGAGTCTTGGTACTTGTATTCACCCATGTGCTATTGTGGTTTTTACTAGTGGACCTAGTCATTGATTCGGAGTCAAATTTCTTTGTATTTAGGGTCATTTGTGTATTGTGTAATTTGTTTCATGTGAAATGAATTTTCCCATTTCAAAAAAGACAAAGAAAAATATATTATGGGGTGAGTGATTATGTGATGAATAATGTTAAGGACATCGATAAAAAAAAGGCACGATTTTTAGAATTTTAAATTGTAATCTTTTTATTGGAAAATATAAGCTTTTATTATAAATTAATATGGTAAAATCACAACTCAAAATTGGAAAAAAACATTAGAATTAGAGTTGATGTAGTTAACTTTATTTTTATGGGATAAGACATTAAGGACTTGTTCATTTCGTGGATTCGAGTTTTCAATTTGAGCTGAGATGTAACATATTCTGAGAACTTTTCACTCTAGCAAAAAAAAAGTTAGATGTGACATTTTCTGAGAGCTTTTTACTGTAGAAACCTAAAACTAAAAATTCAAATCTGTGAAATGAACGAGGCCTAAAAACTTAGCGCTATGATGAGTTTTCTAACCGTTAAGAATTGTGCCAACTGTAAAGTATTTTTTATACATACCTAATAAAATTCTCAATAATTATTACCTAATGTTATAAAATAGAACCTGAAAATTATTATAATAATTATCATATAATTTAATATTCTTATAATATTTTAAAAATTGCTACAGATCAATTTAATTTTCATAAACATGTGATCATACAAAAATTTTGACTAAAGAAAATCAAATCAACCTTAGGATGGGAACAGAGTTGGATGACCTTCCTCACTCCTTACTCCATCGAAAAAACTCGCCCTATCACAGATTTAGGATAACTCTCACGTAAATCTAAAAGCTCAAATAGAAAAATAAATAATAATCACACAATTGAGCAGTTTCTTAAGGCCAATTTACTAATATTAAAAAGAGAAAAAAACCATAAGTACAAGTCAAGACTCAAGATGATAAAAAAATATTATTTATACCACACTACTAAAAAATAAACAATTGTAATTCAATTAATAAAAAAATAATAAAAAACTATGTTGACACCCATTTAGAATGCTATAAATGATAGTTTTGCATAAAATAATGACAAATCATGTACTTTTTTCTACTAAAAATACATATCACAACATATTAGTTTAATTAGCTTATTATTTATAATTATTATAAATAATAAAAAGTTAACTAGGCAGATTATGAGTGGGAACCCTAAACCTGAATGCTATGTTTGGTAGGAAGGAAAGAAAATAAGACAGAAAAAAAATATGGAAGTGATGAAAAATAGCAATGATGGAAAGGAAATTGATTTTCTTTTATGTTGTTTGGTATGAGAAGATGGAAAGAAAATGTGCTTACTTTCACTTGTTTGGTATTGGAAGTTAAATTGGGAGGAAAGAAAAAATCTTACTCGTAAATTACTTTTATACCCTTAAATTTTTTGCTTGGATGTTGATGGAGAAAATAGTAGTTTAGTAACTTTGCTCACTTTAATGAGTTGTCCCCACTTTCCATCTCATTTTCTGCCTACTTGTGGAAAGAAAAAAAATGGTGGGGCCCACATGTATTATTTTTCACTCCATTTTCTCTTCATTTCTCTTTTCTCTTCTACCAAACAACCTACATTTTCATTTTCTCTCCTAAAATTCCTCCACCTTCTTCCTTCCTTCTACTTTTCTTTCCTACCAAACATAGAAAGGATCGGGTTTATCATATGTTATTAGGGTCGGGGACATGCGGGTAATCGGGTTGGCGGGTAAGCCCCTAATTGGGCCCAAGCCCAAATTGAGAAACAAAATTCGTAAAAGAGTGAGTTAACGGTGAAAACAGAAAAAAATTTTCATCTAATTCTGCAGCTAGGGATTGGTTCAGGAGCTTTTATTCTTCACTCCACTCCCGATCTTCCGCCCAATTAAAATTCAAAGCCTGCCGAATCTATCAATTCTACTTTTTCCTAAATTATTTTCTTAGATCAGAACAAGGAAATGGTTCACAGGTCGGTTCTGTGCTTTTGTTGTGCTTTTGATTTGAGTTACATAAAGAAATTTATTTTGATTTGATTTAATTTTTAATTTTAATTTTTGGGTCCCTTATGATTAATTTATCGAACAGGTATGGAGTTTGCTGATTCGGAGAAACTAAAGTATCATGTTGCAGTGCGTTGAGGGAATTAAGCATGTTTTTGTTTCCCTTTTGCGGTGCTGCGATCTTGACTTGTATAGTCAATCCAGAGGCCTAGACGATCCTGAGATACTAGCCGGGGAAACTGTGTGTAAGCTTTTTTTATTTTATTTTTATTTTAAGTTTTAGATCGTAATAAATTAAAACCCATATTTTATTTTCATGCAGAAATTCCTCGGATATCTTTTTTTTTTTTTTTTTAAAGGACAATTAGAACTAGAATTTTGGGAACTTATTTAGAATTCTCATCCCTTTTTGGCTGTCATTCAACTCGATAGTGCAAGCTTCTGATTTTTCATTCTGGTTTCATAATAAATCAAAACCCACTTTTCATTTTCGTGCAGAAATTCCTCAGAGGTCAGTGTTGTTGTTGTTGTTGTTGTTTTTTATTTATTTATTTTAATAGAATTGCTTTGCCTTTTGGGGTGTTTTTGAATTCAATGGAGTTAAGTGAGCTTCTGATTTTTCATTTAGTTCATAATAAATAAAAACCCAATTTTCAATTTCGTGCAGAAATTCCTCAGAGATCAATTTTTTAAGTGACAATTAGGATTTAGGACTAGAAAAATCATTAACATAATTTAGAATTTGCTTTGCCTTTTGGGCTGTTATTGACTCAAATAGAGTTAAATAAGTTACTTTTATTGAAATTTTATTTTCCATAGAGCTACAAAACTGATCTAATGAAAATCTGTGTTTGTACACATGGTTGCAGTCAGCGTAAGTGAAATTGAGGCTCTTTATGAACTTTTTAAGAAGATCAGCAGTGCCGTGATTGATGACGGGTTGATTAACAAGGTTTGTTGATCTGTAATAATACTTTTATTATCTCTCGGTTCGGAATATTTCTTTCTTTTTTCCCCCCTCATGATGAGAAAGTGATTGGTGGTACCCTTGCTCCCACCTAGTGCCACCTTTGCATAATTTACTGGGAACACAGTTGGGATGGAAAGGGGATTAGTACACACAATTGTCAACAACCCTCGGAGGGTCATGCATGTCAAACACACGACCTCATTATTTCAAAGGACAACACGTGGACACAAAAAATCGAACCTCTGATGGATTGGAGAGAAAGCTATGGTGCAGTTGTCCATTGCCGCTATGGAACCACCCACCTGTGGTGTTTTATGATATTTCTTGGGATATTCCTTAATCATAAACTTTGTTTCCTTAACACCTGTTGTAGGAGGAGTTTCAACTGGCTTTATTCAAGACAAATAAGAAAGAGAGCTTGTTTGCTGATCGGGTACTTTTCTTCTGTTTTTTCTTTTTTCATTTTAAATTTCAAACATGATGTTACCTATGTTGTTTGGCAGTCTATGGTCGTATCATATCTGGGTACTCCAGTCAGCTATCTATATTCTATCAGTTAAAAGGGCCTCATATAAGCTGCTATCTATAACTTAGCCTCTTCACAATTTCAGGTATTTGATTTGTTTGATATAAAGCACAATGGAATACTCGGTTTCGAAGAGTTTGCACGTGCCCTATCCGTCTTCCATCCAAATGCCCCAATTGACAATAAGATTGAATGTATAGTTCTTGTTAAATGAATAGGACTTTTCATACCAATATGTGAGAGTTTTTTTCACTTACTTTTAGTATATGTGTTTCCTTATGTTTCACATTTTCTTCATTTTATGAACCGTTGTTGCAGTCTCTTTCCAGCTGTACGATCTCAAGCAGCAAGGTTTTATTGAGAGGCAGGAGGTAACATTTCAGGTTCACCTTTTTGTAGTTTTTATTTCTATTTTGTTTTTAATTTTTTGGACTTTGAAATATGTGAATGTTTCTCAAATATATACTTAGGTGAAGCAAATGGTAGTGGCTACTCTTGCAGAATCTGGAATGAATCTTTCGGATGATGTCATTGAAAGTATAATTGACAAGGTGCTCCTTCCATTTCTGAGTTTAATAAGGACGTGTTCTTCCCTTGCTTGTATGGAGAATATTTAAAATCCCTTGCAGAAGATTGACATTGTATGCATGTGCTCTTAGACTTTTGAGGAAGCTGACACAAAGCATGATGGGAGGATTGACAAGGAAGAATGGAGAAGTCTTGTTTTGCGACACCCGTCTCTCCTGAAAAACATGACGCTTCAATACCTCAAGTACGCTCCGATTTCGAATTATAAGTCTCTCAAATATTTGATATTCATAAACTCACAAATGTCGCATTATTTTTATGAAATGTTGTTTTTCAATTTTCTTCTTGCTTACACTTGCTTAACTCAGGATCAACTTTCATGTGAACCTAGTTTATGGAAGTTTGATCCGACTTTCGTAGAATTTCTATATTTCTCTTAATTCTAGGCTTTGATGTTTTTGCATAGTAACTAGAAACACGGGAATGATTCAACAAGTGTGCTTTTTATGATCATATTTTTGGAAACATGGTAGCCAGTACCTTTATATGTTAAAGCTTTGATCATAATACTTTTTTATTTTTTCCTCTTTCCTTAACAGAGACATCACCACAACTTTCCCAAGCTTTGTCTTTCACTCGCAAGTGGATGATACTTGAAGTCAAGGGCAAATTACATTTTGCAAGTTTTCAGACGATATTGGTCTCTGATATGTAAAGAAGGGTCAAGAAAATTTTCTCATTATTTATTTATTTTTTGTTTTGTTCTGTTGAGATTTTTGGCCTTGCGTGATTTTGTTCAATGACTGAACTCTCTAGTACATTCTCCCTTTTAGGTTGTAAGTCGAAGGCATTCTGGTCTGTTTTATGTTCTCTTATTAGCCTACTTCAATAAGATTTTGATTATTTTGGAAATCTGTTCTAAATTTAGAGCCAAATTGAACTGATTATCAACCTGAATCCATAAGGCTCCTACCTCCGAAAAAAAAAAAAAAAAAAAAGGGCTAGAAGTTTTAAAGTTAACGTGCAGCGATGCAGAAATGTGGTCTTGGCGTCTAGCTTACAACGTGGGGAAGTCTGTTTGGTAGAGTTGGAAATGAATAGGATATAAATTGGAATAGGATTTTGGAGTAGAAAATAGAATTTGGGTTTTTTTGGTAGAGATAAAATTGGCAAGAAAAGAAGTTACAAATTATAGTTTATCGTTTTTTAATTCCCTCAACTTTGAAAAGAAAATATTTGATAAAACAAATAGTGCACTAATATCTATTTTGATCTTAATCAAACATCATCTTATTTTGAAGAAGGTTATTTTGCATGCACACTTCCTCAACTTTACGAGTTTGGTGAATTGATCTCTTAACTTTTTTTCTTGACAATTTACTCCTTAAAATTTGAAATTTATTGCAATGTTAGTCAAATTAAAAATGAAGTTAAAAAATTTATACTGTATCTTTCTTGTGAGTGTTTAATGAGGGTAATTAATATTTTTTCTATTGAATTGATTCTCATATACGCATCACCGTGAGCGAAAATTTATTTGAAATTGGGAGTTAATTGTTTTGGAGTACAAATTGGGGTTCCCCCAATTTCAAAAAATTTTCATTCATGACGTGTACGAAGGGTTTAATTCGATGTAAAAAGACTAATTATCTTTATTAAACACTCACATATAAGATACCGTCTAAATTTTTAACTTCGTATTCAATTTGACCAATAATGTAACAAATTTTAAAGTTTAAGGGGTGAATTGTTAAGAAAGAAAATTAAGAGACTAATTTGTGAAATTCATAAAATTAAAGGGGTGTCCAGTAAAAAAAAACCTTTGAAGAAAAAAGATAAAAGATGATTAGGCATCTTTTTTTTTTCCCCTTGCTCTCTCTCTTTCTTATTTTATTTTATTTTTATTTTTTTTATCTTCTATCAAAAAGTTGCTTCCAGCCTTTATATTTTCCTCACATTGATATTGTGTTTTTTTTTTAATCTCTCTCTCTCTTTTTGGTTAGTCAAAATGGGAATTGTGGTGTCCCAAGACGTCAATCCTCAATGGCTATTTGATAAAGAGAAAATTGTTGAACTAACTCTTATAATGAATAAGTCTGAATTTTTATCTTTTACTCTTAATTAATATCCTTTTGACTAATGTGATTATTTGACTAAAAAATATATTAATAAATATTAAAGGGTAAAAATCCAGATGTATTTGTTTTCTTTCCTTTTTGATAAATCTACCGAGACCACATCCTTCATAGTGGTCGATTTATTTTCTAAATTTAATTTTTGTACAAAAACAACCAAGTACTTAGACCACATATATCAAAAGTTTTCAATAATTTCAATTTGGTATTCTGTGTTTTGGTAAAATTTTCTTTTAGTACCAAATGTTTTTGATAATCTTAAATTAGTACCTCTATGTTTAAAAAAAAAAAAAATGGATACCTTAAGGTCTTTTTTGGAGACATAAAATGATGAATTTGCCTCTAGCAATAATTTCTTATTTGTTTGCCCTAGTCGAGTCATTACATTATTGGTTGTGTTAACAGTGTGGTTTGCAGATTCTCTTTCTCTCCCTCCTCTTCTCTTTCTCTCTCTAAAAGTATCTACAAATTTTTCATAACTCTTTGAGTGCGTCTTCTCATAGGGCCGGAACTCGGAGGCAACTGTCAAGCTGGCCTTTGAGTTCTCAGCCCAAGATCAAAGAATAAGTGTAACCAATGAAGGCCAAAATATTGTCCTTAAAGCATGAGATGTAATAAAAATGTTTATTATTTAATTAATAAAATAATTTATTCACTATTTATGTGCATATATTATTAAATACTTTATGAATATCATTAAAAATTTTACAATCATTTATGTGGTCTTAAATATTATACATAAGTGTTATTTATGAGAGGATAATATTTAAAAATAATAATCGAAATGAATTTAATTAAAGTTAGAAAATCTTTAATTCAAACATTATTAATTCATGTCATTCCCATTAAGAATAAAATGATGTTATCTGCATCATTAATATAGAGGGATATTGAATGAATGTACTATGTATAATGAGATTATGTAAAACTGAGACACATACATAATTTGATTTTCTGATAATTTATGTTAAATATAGAAAATCAAATTTGAGTATACCGATTGTCATATATAAAATGATCTTAATCCTAAGTTATAAGTAGACTCATATTTATAGATTCGTGTTTTTTTATTTACTCAGTATGGATTTTGAGATTCTAAAATCATATTCCTTGTATATTAGAAACGTGATGAAATGGATAGTCGAGAATACTAATATACGAGATGGAATACATTCCTTCTTCTTTGAAGAATTTTAGAAAAGATAAATTATCAAGATTTAATACCACTCGAAATAAATAATGTGATTATTTAATTAAATTAATTTTGCAACATACTGTAGTGGGACTACATGAGGTCACACGTCCAAGCACAAGAAGGTGCAGAGGGCATGTGACACAGGTAGAATCCCACTAATTGCTTGCTCTTCAAGATATCCGGTTTACTTGTTTAACAAGTTTTCTGATCAAATTCAAAAGGAAAGTGAAATATGACTTTATTTAGATTTGAATTTGAGCTAAAATTGAAAATTTGATAAAGGATGAATTTTCTCTCTCTCTTGTTGCAGATTTGCGGGTCTCCCTGTGGTTTAGCTGGCCATGTAGTAAAAAGGAAAGAAAAATTTGTTTCCAAAATTAAATGGAAAATTGTATTTTAATGAGATTAAAATACAGTAATAACTAATTTTCTATTGTTTTGTCTTTAAGTTAAAGTAAATAAGTTCTCCTAGTCTTTTATAAATAAGAGACATTAGAAAATTAGGAGGGATAATTTTTTGCTCCAAAAATTCATAGGTGGCCGAATTTTAAGAGAGAAAAAAGAAAAGAAAAATTCTTCCAATTTCCAATTTCTTCACACACATGCATTGATAGTGAATGAATATAAATTAACGAGTGATCAAATCCGATAGTTCTATATTAGAGCCCACACTCTAGGTCTTGCAGATTTTAAGGACTAGATGAGGAAGATTTGGATGTTCTGAGAAAGCTTGGAGCTTAGACTGTTTGTGGTCAAAGACCTCAAGTTATCCGCCTAATCGTTCGTTGGGTATCTATCTTTATAAATTAATATGATTAATTTATTATTGTATAAATTAATATAATCTATAGAATATTTAAAATTTTTATGAAAATTTTTGTTATACACGGTTCACATTACCACGCTTCCGCACTCGAAAACGTTTTGAAAACCAACATAAAGGGTAATCTCAGCTGCGTGGAGGGAGGAGGAGGAGACCAGTGAGGCAAAAACGAGAGTGATGATTATGTGTGGATAAGCAATTGTGGGAGATGGGTTGAAGGTGAGACATGACATTGCGGCATGCGTGTGGTGGCGAAAGAGACTGTGAATTAGGGGCTTTACTTTCCTAGGAAGCGACAAACCTTTGGATGCAAGTGTGGTAGAGATGTTGCTTGATGGTGGAGGCGTGTAAGTTTCACGCGCTGGCATGGGAGAGGTTACTCTGCAGTTGTTTAGGCGAAGTTCATTTTTGGTCTTTCCGGCCACCTCAACTACGTGGGTGGGCTTGCTATTGATGGCTCTAGCTAGGTTGCCACGTTCTCATTTTGTTTTGTGGTATTTTAAAATAAAAGCGTTGTTTTCACCTAGCACACTTTAAGTTTCGATGTTTTTGTTTCGTTTAGAGTCATTACTAATTTAGACGGTTTCCTTACACTCCGAGTTTATTTCTGTCTTATCCAGATTCGTGTCTTGGCGGTCTGTTAGTCCTGTTTGATTTTTTGTCTATGCTGAGGAGCATGTGGTGGTCTTCACGCTATACAGTTATAGCTCTCAATCGATGGAGGTAGAACTGCAAGTTCATTAGGCATGGCCCAAGGCCCATTATTGTTGGCCTCCGGTTCGGGCTAGGTTAAGGTTTCGAGCTCGAAAGTTGGCCGTCCCAAACTCCTTTTTTTAAAAAGATTTTAGAAAATTTCTTATAAATTCTAGGTTGGTTGAGCCCGATCCTAGGCCTGTCGAGCTTTTAGGACTGGCCAGCCTGAAATTTCCATTTGGGCTGTCAGGCCGGATCGAGTGGCATAAACTTTTACCTATAATCAGAGGCTTCCATCAACTGTAGAGCTATTTTTCAAAAAAAAAAAAAAAAAAGGGTGCAAGCTTGATTATACGTGTGCTGAGGAACTTTCTCGGAGTCTCTGCGTATGTCTTTCTTTTTAAGTGTTGGAATCGGTTTCAATTAAGGGTTATATCTCGCGTATTGTAGAGTAATTTGCATTATCGAAATTGTTAGTGTTTTTGTTTTCCTAATATTGTGGTGGAGAATTTGATGGGAGTTCTTAATAAATTATTTTCAAGTCATTTGAAAATATTTGTTTATAAGTAAAAAATCATATTCAGAAGATAATATCATTGCTTTCGAGAGTTACTAAAATAAATTCAGAATAATTGAAATTAGATTTTAAACAAACATGAAACACCTTACGATAATAATAATAAAAAAAACTATTAATTATTTTTATAGATCCTACCCGTGCGGAGCACGTGGTACACATCTCTGTCTATCTATATATATATCTACCTATCTAGTATCTACATATAAACAGCAAAAACGACTTCGATTCTGATATTGGGTGCCGTCTTCAGTTGCCGCATAGAAAAAGCCCAATCCCAATTCCAAACCCTAAACCTAACCCTAACCCTAACCCTCGATTTCGAGACCTCTGTCTGATTCACTCCGTACCAATGGCGAGGAAGCGCAAGCTGGTGTCCAGCTCCTCCAACGAGCCTGCCAAGAAGCAGCAGCAGCAACAACAAAAGGTAGTCGAGGAAGTAGTCGAGGAACAGGTTGAACACAAAGAAGTCGAAGAAGAGGAAGAACGCAAGGAAGTCGAAGAAGAGGAAGAACGCAAGGAAGTCCGGGAAGAAGAAGAAGAAGAGTACGAAGAAGTTGAAGAAGAAGAAGAAGAAGACGAAGAAGAAGAAGAAGATGACGATGATGAAGAGAAAGGGGACGAAGAAGGGACCGGTGAAGAAGCAAAGACTGCCAATGACCTTAATCAGACGGCCGATGATGACGAAGAACCGATCGAGAAGCTTCTGGAACCATTCGGAAAGGAACAGCTTGCCTATATCCTTCGCGAAGCGGCGGAGAAGCACCGCGACGTGGCGCACCGGATCAAGGAGATCGCCGAAGAGGACCCGGCCCACCGGAAGATCTTCGTCTACGGACTGGGATGGGACACGACCGCCGAGACCTTGACGAGCGTCTTCAAGGAGTACGGAGATATCGAGGATTGCAAGGCCGTCTGTGACAAGGTCTCGGGGAAATCCAAAGGCTACGGCTTTATCCTCTTCAAGACTCGTTCCGGTGCTCGCAAAGCCCTAAAAGAGCCTCAGAAGAAGATCGGAAATCGGATGACGTCTTCCCAGCTGGCGTCGGTGGGCGTGGTCCCCGCCGCGGCTTCTGCGCAGCCGCAAGGGCCGTCGTCGGAGTACACGCAGAGGAAGATTTACGTGAGCAATGTCGGAGCGGAGCTTGATCCGCAGAAGCTAACTGTTTTCTTTTCCAAGTACGGAGAGATTGAGGAAGGGCCGTTAGGGCTCGATAAGGCCACCGGGAGGCCAAAAGGGTTCTGTTTGTTCGTTTACAAGACGGTGGACGGCGCGAGGAAGGCTCTAGCTGAGCCCCACAAGAATTTCGAGGGCAACATTTTGCATTGCCAGAAGGCAATTGACGGCCCGAAGCCGGGAAAATCCCATCATAATCAGCACCATCACCACAATCAGAGGAACAAGAATCCAGGGTTCGGTGGGGCCCAGCCCGGGCCAGCGGTGCCGGGGCATTTGATGGCGCCAGCAGGGCCTGGAGGGTTTACCCAGGGAGCTGCGGCGGCTCAGGCTTTGAACCCTGCACTCGGGCAAGCGATAACAGCGTTGCTTGCATCGCAGGGTTCTGGTATGGGGCTGACTAACTTGTTGGGAACGTTGGGGTCTGCTGCTGGTGTGGCGGCTCCAGGTGTGGCTGGACCCGGGCAAGTTATTCAGCCTGCTTATGGAAATCAGGCCAGTATGTATGGGAATCAAGGAGGAATGCAGGGCGGGTATCCAAATCAGCAGATGGGACAGGGCGGGACTGGAAGAGGGCAAGGTGGTGTTGGGCAGTATGGTGGTGCTCCAGCATATATGGGACACTAGGTTCGCCCAGGTATGATAGATAAAAACTTTGTACTAGGTGATTTTCGTTGGACATATTAGGGTTTTAGACTTTAGTTTTAGGAAAAGAACAACCTAATGGAGTAATCAAGGTAATACGTTCGCATTTCATAATAACAAAATTTATTAAGAGGCCGTTAAGCTCATGGGTTCATGTGGTTTGAACTGTGAGTGGATTCCAAACAAGTGTTTGGATGCACAAGTTTTGGCCCCAGTTTGAACCATGAAGTGATATTCTAAACCAGCCGTACCAGAAAAGTTAAAACTTAATCCCCCCATTTGTTCTTGTGGTTTGAACCCATGTTCCTAACCACTCCTTTTAGACTCACGGTTTAAACCACAACATTTTGACGATCCGAAAGAAAATGATTGTCCTTCATTTATCAAGTAAAAAGATATTGTCTGGGTAAAATTGTTTAACAACATTATCCCTTTAAACTTGTCTTGATATTTGAGTTTTATTATCTGTACAGGTACTTGAACGTGCGATAGATTGGTAGTGAAACAAAGATTATAAACGGAGTGTAACTAGTGACTTAATACGACCATTGAGGTTTAGATAATTTAGAATCGAGTTCCATTGATATACCATCTTGCATACATCCCTGATTGGAGAGTAACGCATCCGCATTGCGACTTTGGCTTGAAAAATAGATACTTAAATGTAGCATCGGCTTCTTGCAACCTTAATACAGGCATAATTTTTCACTTCAAAAGATGTAGATCTTGATTAGCATTAAGAAGAAATACTTTAGTAATAAATTGGCTTTGTATTCATGCACGTCTACAGAGAACTAGTCAAAACACAAGTTGAAAAAAAAAAAAAAACAAGTGCACGAGTTAGATAAAGAGACTTTATTACTATGCTAGTGTCTGTCTCTGTGGTGGGGATCATCTTGTTTTAAGTCGCGAAGAAAATTATCTTAAGGGCCTGTGCCCAAATGTCGTGCATGCTATGGTTTTGACTTTAGGAAACTATATTGGATGTGAGTTTCAATCAGTTGATTAAGCCTTTTGGAAGTGTTCAATGACTCCTATTGATCATTTTGATGTATGGTTGAAGTATATTCCCTTTTATTAGGATTTTCTTTTCCAAATTTTAATTTCTTTTTTTGCTGCACATGGTGTTGATCATTTTAGTGGGTTTTGATCTCTGCCTATGCAAGCAGGTCTGACAATCTCCTATCCGAAACTTTGAAAGGACTTTAATGTTTCTCTTTTGGTTTGTACCTTTTTCTAGAGCAAACTGTTGCTGCCTGTGGTGGTGGCTTGTAGAAATATACTTTGTTTTGTCATGGTTAGATCTTATAACTGATTGTTCTCAACTAATATTTTTGTATTCATTAAAATAAACATAGTTGTAAAGCCCATTCTATCGTTTTTAGACTTTTATGCATTTCTGTGTGAGAGAATCATGCATTGACTTTAAGTTCTTGTAGCAAATTGTTTAAGTTTTTTTGGTTCCTTGGAAATTTTGTTCCACCTAGCTCCTTAATGAGTTTAAAAGGCCGGTTCTCTTTAGAAATTTAAATTTATTATTATTTTGTGTAATCTACCATTTTTGTTTAACTCATCATTATTGCATTAATCCTGAGAGTTTCTAAAATATTTTAAGGGATTACCGGTTCTGAAATCGTTTTCTTTTTCAAATTGCCTTTTCACGCTTTCTTATTCAATGTGCAGATCCCACATAGGTGCATCAGTCTTTTTGTACTGGTTTGCTGATTCTTCTGAAGTTTAAGGAGCTGATGGTTATTGCAAAGAGCAGAATCTTAAAACATTTTATCAAATTTATGTTTTATCATCTCGTATTTCTTAGCCTTTTTATTTTTCTCCTTTGAAATATTGTAGTTTTCTCTTGTTTAAAAGCTAAACCATTTCAGTACTTGGAACTTCTAAGCATATATTTGTGTACCCCAAGAAGTCAATGAGCTTGAACAAAAATGCTTTTTGAAAATTCCAATGCCATGGCATGGATTATATAATATTTTGTATAATTTTTCTTCCCCTGCCATGATTATTTGCTCAAGTTTATAATTTTTTTTAAACTCTTTTTGGTTTTGATTATTCAACCAACTGATTCAGTCGGTTTAAGTAGCATCGTGGATCCTTGAATTTAATTTGTCTTCTTTTGACAATTTTCTGCCTTGAGTGTTCTATTTAAATTTTGGAGCGATTCTATTAACTTTGTTCAACACTGTTGGAATTTTCACAATTTATTTTTTTGAGGGGAAAATTTTCACAAGTTAATGTCTGTTATGACTTGTGGTCTTCCCTGATTACTTGTGTCCTTAGTTTAGTTATTGGAAAGCGCTTGTAGGATAATTCTTTAATGAAGATTGAGTGGCTATAATTGTTGTTAGTACTGTATCTCCCCAAAAAACTTTGCCCCCGTTTGTTTCATTGCTCTCTTTTCACACCTACTAAACACAAATTTGAATTTTATTCTCTATTCAAATTAAAACTTTAATTACACATCCAAACATCAATTCAAACTACAATTTAAACTACATAGTTTGAATTTTTCTGTTCAAATCAAAAAAATATAAACTAGCGAACCAAACGGGGCTTTTATATTTCTGTAACGGCACAGTGAAACGGTTCTTGTCATTATATGGTTATGTCATATGTGAATGCCTTTCATTTAGCTTCTATTTATTATCAGTTAAAAAAAAAAAAACGGGTGAACATCCTATTTTGCAAAAAATTTCTGGAAGCTATTCCCTTGGCAGTGGCTCCATTTCTCTGGTTAAAGATATGCTGAGCAAAGATAGAAAAACTGTTATACTAATAGCAACGTGTACATATGATATTATGCAACGAAAGTTATTTTCAATTTCCAAAAGTAAAAATCACTGTAACTTTTGTGTTTTACTTGTATTAATACTTATAGAACACCATGTTTGTTCGTTCTTTATCTTCTCAGTAGTTTGTGCCTTGTAGTAGAAGGTTGAGGTCAGAAGGGAGAATTAGTTATGTAAGTCCTCTATGCTGTTTTTATGTTGGCGCAGAGCTTGCACAGTTTATAGTTGTGGGGTTTGATGGTCAATTAGCAATCTATGTCGTAGAAGTATTTTAAATGCATCAAAATGATAAGCACTAATAACGACTGAGAACGCGGTGTTCTTGAGAAATTTCATTGTAATGATAATGAATCTCCTTTCAATCACAAAAAAGAAAAAAGAGATTATTGTGGCCTGCAATCAATGTTTGTGCTGGTTAATTTTGACTTATTTGCTGCTGCTCGTCCTCAGAAGCAGCTGATGAAAGTTTATTTCTTGGTACGCTATGAGGTAATATATTGAACTATACTCTGCTGATTTCTTATTTCTAATCAGAAATGTGAGAACAACTTTCAAATATTGGTTGAATTCAGTTATAGAGAGCCTATCTGCAATATTGAATACTGATTTACTGATTCGACTCTTTCTTATTTTAGATGTGATTGATTTTGTTTCCATGATAATCGTAGAATACAATACGAGATATGCAAATTTGTAAATAGAATGGACTTAGCCAGTTAAATGCTTTTCACCTCCTCCTGTTCGGAACTGTTTATATTCTTTATTCTTTTCATTCTTTTGGGGAAGATATGCAAGTTTGGGGGAGGGGATATCTTTAGTACTTTACTGCAAGATTTTTTTCATGCCGCAAAGTTCTGGGTTGCTTTTCTCCGTTTTATTGTTGTGTTGTTTTATTTATTCTTATCATAGATAATATTTATCTATGACATGAATTTAACTCATAAGCTTTGTTTGTAGCACTATTTTTCCTTTTCCTAATCCCTTGTAAGATGCCTTGATTTGCATTTATACGACTTTTTTGGATGGAATGTTATGAGAAAATGTTACTTGTGAACGACTTCTATTTTTACAAAACTACTTGAGCTGTGAACATTATAATTTGATAATTGATACCATATATATATATATATATATATAACTGTATGTGTCTGTCACTCTTTACTAAATTGCAAAGATGAGAGCGTTTTAGAAAGCTGAATACAACTCTTTTTTTGTTTCCTTACTGTAATGTTGGAATACAAATTTATTGGACTAGAGAAAGTAATGATGCCATATGAGATCTCACTTCTCATTGAATAGGATTTGTGAAATTTTCTTATGTGGCCACTGACGAGTAAGCATCTAACCAAGGTAATTTGTAGTTTGTACGTTTGTAACTGACAACTTCGAATCTTCCAATCAGCATTCCCAGCGGGGCTGGGGTGGTGAAGGCCTTCTGTGGTCTGGACGTGGTTGTTGCCCGTGAGTTGAGTGGTTGGTTTTTTAGTTGTGGTGCAAGGAAGTAGCCCCTTGCACTGTTGAAAGTGGGGAGGCGCAAGCTTTGATTTGGGCTATTAGATTGGCTCTTTATATTGGCTTCAACTGTGTTCTAGTGGAGGGGGATGCTAAAGTTTCTCATAGTTTCCTTTTCGGATGCTCGGGCTGCTAGCTGGGAAACAGAGAACTCTTGTGAAAGAGGTCCACCAGCTTGCCAAAGATTCCAGTCCTGCTCCTTCAATTCGACGATGACGGAAATGTTGTGGTGCACAATCTTAGCTGATTGGCTCTTGCTAAAGTTTCTCATAGTTTCCTTTTCGGATGCTCGGGCTGCTAGCTGGGAAGCAGAGAACTCTTGTGAAAGAGGTCCACCAGCTAGCCAAAGATTCCAGTCCTGCTCCTTCGATTTGTACGACGATGACGGGAAATGTTGTGGTGCACAATCTTAGCCGATCGGCTCTTGCTAAAGTTTCTCATAGTTTCCTTTTCGGATGCTTGGGCTGCTAGCTGGGAAACAGAGAACTCTTGTGAAAGAGGTCCACCAGCTAGCCAAAGATTCCAGTCCTGCTCCTTCGATTTGTACGACGATAACGGGAAATGTTGTGGTGCACAATCTTAGCTGATCGGCTCTTGCTAAAGTTTCTCATAGTTTCCTTTTCGGATGCTCGGGCTGCTAGCTGGGAAACAGAGAACTCTTGTGAAAGAGGTCCACCAGCTAGCCAAAGATTCCAGGCCTGCTCCTTCGATTTGTACGACGATAACGGGAAATGTTGTGGTGCACAATCTTAGCTGATCGGCTCTTGCTAAAGTTTCTCATAGTTTCCTTTTCGGATGCTCGGGCTGCTAGCTGGGAAACAGAGAACTCTTGTGAAAGAGGTCCACCAGCTAGCCAAAGATTCCAGTCCTGCTCCTTCAATTCGTACGACGATGACGGGAAATGTTGTGGTGCACAATCTTAGCCGATTGGCTCTTGCTTTGTATCTTTAAAGTTGATATGCCTTTTGTTGTTCCAAAGTCCATGTTTGCTTCCTGTTTTTTGGCTCAAAAAGTCCGTGTTTGCTTTTGTTCCTGTATTTGCTTGGCTTTTGTTGGTCACCCGCTCATCAATCAAAAAAAAAAAAAAAGGACAGCTTTGAAATCATTTTTTATTTTCAGGTATGAGTGTTAAGGAAGAATAGAAAATGAAAGTGGATAGTTGTTGAAAATAGTTGCAAAAAAACCTTTTCATCAAATAAAAAAGGAGAATTGCATGTTTGGTTCAGAGAAAAAGAAAGTTTGAAAGGAAATTGAAATTTTTTGAAAGGAAATATTGTAGTAAAAGATTTGAGTTATGACCTAACTTTTGAAACAAACTGTGCATATAATAGTTGGAAATATTATCGTAAAAGAAAGTTGAAAAAAAAAATGAGAACATAGTTAAAAAATCTATTTGCTTCAGGGTGTATTTTGTAACTAGTTTTACAATTCAAAAGACGTTTTGACGTATTTGTATAATATGAGGGATAATAAAGCTATTTTCGTTAAAATCAATCGACTTTTTGTTACGGAAAAATAACACATGGTATTGAGTCTAGTTTTGATATATTAATCCGTTTTGATTTGAGTTTGTAATTCGAGTTGAGATGTGATTTTATGTGAGAGCTTTAGACTGTAGTAAAAAAGTTAGATGTGACTGTTTCTGAGAACTTTTTACTGTAGCAAAACTCAAATTCTAAACTCGAATAGGTGAAGTGAACGGATCGGTCACTAAAGTCATTTTGGTATTTTATGGTGAAATATCTTACTCGTATTATGTGTTTTTAATAATATTAAAAAAGTATTTTCACTTTAAAAATAAAATTTGAGCACCCTAAATTGATGTCTAACCAAAAATTGATGTTCATCAGTGTTGAAAGTGCCCCTTTAATTAATTAAGTGGAAATTAACAATTTTAAAATTATTTTCTAAAAGCATTTTAACTCATTTTGATTTTTTTTAATTTTTAAGTGTACTAACGTTTTTTTATAATTCTTTTAAATAATTATTAGCTTGTTGTTAATTAGTGAAGAGGGTAGACTTTATAGTCTTAAAAAATAGTCTTAGAAAAGACTTTTTTTAAAAGTGAAATTGTTTGAATATTATCAAAAGAGTAAGGTTAGAGACACTAAATTAAATTTCAATTTTTATATATTAATTGATGTGGTATGTAAGTTGTTATTTTTTTTTATTGATAGATGTAACAACTCACATGTCACATTAGTTGATACATAAGAGTTAAGATTTGAGTTAGTATCCTTAGCATTATTCTGATAAAAAAAACAGGATATTAGTAAGTGTTTTTGCTATAACATACAATAGTAAATATAATTTTGGGTGTGTTCATTTGTATAACTCAAGTCATGACTTGAGTTGTGTATGTGAGAGAAAAATACTGTAATAAAAAAGTTAAATTTGAATTTTTAGAGAAAAATACTGTAATAAGTCATGACATAAGTCAAGATTTGAGTCATAAAATGAACAAAGCCTTTATTCTTTAAAAATTTAACCTGTAAAATTAAGGGTGTGTTCGGTTGTAAAAAACTCAAAAAAATGCAGCTCGAGTTTCAACTTTATTCAAGTTCATGTTCTTTTAATTTTAAACTCGAGTTTGAACTCAAGTTTGGGACTAAAACTCGAGTTCAAGTGTCCTCTTCAACTCGAGTTCAGAAACTCGAACTCAAATTAATGAACAATATTTTTTCTATTTTTAAAAATG